TATCGACTCTGCATCGTATGTGAACGAGGAACAGTATTCAGTGCAATAAGATTTCGTCACGACTGGACTCGGTACAAAGGTAAGACGAYATTTTGTATTCATTGAGATTGATAACATCCAACAAACACTTTATAAATCATCAGAAAGTGGTATTTATTCTTCAATCATGTCACCAAGTCGTTAGTGGTTGTTTATTGCTGTCTAAGTATCGATGTGAATTCGAAATAACTTATTCTTCGTTTGCACTTCATGGAAAAATAAATTTTCCGTAAAAATAGTCATAAACAAAATTCAAGTAATCCATGTGAAAGAGCGAGTAAAACTCTGTATMCCTGAGAATTTTTTCGCCGAAAGGAGTTTTACTTGTCAAGATATAAGCAATTTTATACGCTAATTTTTTAGAAGGAAATGTATGGCGAGGTTATGTTTATACGCTTCAACGGCACCAACATTTTTAGAGAGTTTTAAAATCAAAGATAAAATTTCGGTACTTTCACATAATAGACGTATTAAAATTCTGTGATTCTGTGAAGTTTTGAGTCGAACCGAGTTTTTGTTGCAAGTTTATAGATGATTTCCACGACTTTTCACGCGCGTGACCTGGCGTTGTGTGACATGACTTTGGCTACCAAATAAAACACTTTGTGCATCAAATCATTCGCATATAAGTTATCTCGAAAACATAGTTTTTCTAAACTATATTTTACAGTAAAATCGATTTCATGGAAAATTCAGTTTAAATTTATTTTTGTTGGATCTATGACATAACGTCCAAACGAAGAATTAGTCGAATGTCGTCGAATGAACACTATTTTGCTATTTTGCATGTATGTTCGATTTTATAACGAAATGTCCCTAAATATTTGTAGGAATTCTATTTGATTCACTTATCATATTCATCATATTAGTGATTTAGAACATTATCATGAGTTACTTACTCTTAAAGTCAATGTATTAAACTGTTTGAGTTCAAGTTGATGGTTGATGATATAATGTCGCCATTTTGAAAACACAGGAAGCCCAATTTGATATACTGAAGACTTTGGAGAAACGACATGAAATGGTCGAAGGCATATTCCCTCGGTGAATCAAAACTACAAGCTGGTGAAACTAGAGATGCTATAAGATACTTTAAAAAGGCTCTGATGATTGCACAAGAGAATGGGTCTAAAAAGGAAGAAGCTGTCACACTTCAACAACTTGGTAATGTTTACGGTGGCATTGAAAATTATCACGAAGCTGTTGATTACTATGAGAAGGGACTGGAAATAGTACAAGAGACTGGTGACAAGAAACTAGAGTGTGAGATGTGTTATCGCATTCGTGCTGCGTGTGATAAACTGGGAGATTATGAAAAGTTTATGCAGTATTCAAAACAAGCCTTGACTGTTGCGTTAAGAATCGGTGACTCTAGACTCACTGCACATTCCTATGATGGTCTTGGTCGTGCTTACAATGCCCTGTGTGACTATCAAAATAGTATTAAGTGCCATAAAAAAGCTATTGATTTCTACAAACAACTGAATAATGAAGAAGGATTAGGGCGTTGTTATGGAAACATGTCATTATCATATCAGGTGCAAGGAAAGTACCATGATGCAATTCGTCTATTAGAGGAGAGTCTCAGGATAAGTGTTAAAATTGGAAGAAAAGAAAAACAGGCGGGTGAATTACTTAATTTGGGAACAATATACACAACGCTGAATGATTATGATAAGGCCATCAAGATGTTCCAGAAAAGTCTTGCTATCAGTATAGAGATCGGTAATAAACGT